ATCTGGTAAAGCTTGGGTCTGCACTTCTCCCTCGCGTAGAGGATGTACTTCCTCAACAGATCTTGAGGGATCTCACCCTCCTTGATTGGTGCGTCACCGTCGACGTCCATTTGGTCGTCGCCGTTCTGTGTCGCTTTTGCCTTGTCAGAGTACCCATATGCTGAGTTGACAAGAGGATGAGCCCGGCCGTGGGAGTTTACGACGAACTTGGCCAAGCGTTCATCCTCCGCCGGGTCAACAGTATCGCGTACGACACACAAGATATCGAATCGAGACAGAATAGGTTCGGTAAGCTCGACATTTTGCGAGAAAGGAATGGTTGAGTTGTATCGACCACCAATGGGGTTAGCAGCTGCTACGATGGAACAGCGAGCTTGAAGGGTTGTGACGATACCAGCCTTGGAGATGGAGATAGTCTGTTGCTCCATGGCCTCGTGAATGGATGTTCGGTCCTGATCATTCATCTTGTCGAACTCGTCTATCAAACAAGTACCCTTATCGGCAAGCACAAGCGCACCACCCTCAAGCGTCCACTCGCTAGTCATGGGATCACGACGGACGGAAGCAGTAAGACCGACCGCGGAAGCACCCTGACCAGTAGCGAAGACAGCACGATGGGCGGTCTTTTCGACATACTTCAGAATCTGGGACTTGGCAGTACCAGGGTCTCCAAGCAACAAGACGTTGATGTCGCCACGGATGGAATGACGACCAGGGGCTTCTTTGCTGACACCTCCGAAGAGAGAGAGCGCCACAGCAGTCTTGATGTCAGTGTGTCCGTAGATGCTTGGAGCGATCGAGTTGATGACTTTGTCCACAATGCGAGGATCCTTGGACAGTCGTCGAATCTCCTTCTCATCGTCTTCGGTCAACCGGAAGCCAGCCAGCTGGTCATGAGACTTGACAACGTAGTTTGCCTCCAAGATAGTTGCAAAGACTGGGAAACCGTTCTTGTTGTTCAAAGCCGCATCGTAGTTGTTACGGTAGATACCGGTGACTTCAATCTCCTCACCAGGCTTCGCCGAGTCGATCAGGTCCCAGAGAAGGATGACCTCCCGATGACGGGGCAAACGTCCTGCCGGTACAGTGCCTGGAGACTCTTGTAGAGTGAGCTTTTGGTAGTTTCGGTAGACTGTCCGCTCGGAGTTCACTGTGAAAGGACCACGTGATTGGCAGTTCTGGCAGAAAGAGATCTTGACCTCAACGTTTGAATCTTGGTGGAAGGGACCCAGAGTGACGCCGCACTTGGTACAGTCAAACTTGACGTATTTGAGTTGAGGGAACACTCCGCTTCGGCGCGTAACGACTCCACTGACACGGACGAGACTGTTGAGATGCGATTGACGGAGCTGGCGGAGGGTGTACTGGACAGGCACGTCGGTGATACGTACGTGAATCTCGGAGTGGATGCGCTCGTAATCTGGGTAGTGAAGGAGGGCGACTTCCATGGCCACCTGGTCGAAGATCTTTAACATCTCGGTGGGCGTGTTGGCCAGCCAGTATGCCAAGGTAGCCTTTTGCTCGGCAAGGTGGTCGAATGAGACTTCCAAGGACTCAGCGTTGACCTCTCCCAAGGTTCGGATACGGGCTCCGTATACCGAGTGACCGTGCTCGTCGGTGTATTCTGTCAGGAAAGACTTGAACTCGCGCGCGATGGTTCTGGCGACCTGAGGTTGAGCCACCCAATCTGTCAGGGTGTTGGCCTTGACATCGGTGAGTGCCTCCAGCGTCAATTCCTCGTTCATGATATCGTTGTCCATGTCCATGTCGTCTTCTTCGTCATACCGATTTCTCCGAACACGACGGCGTCCCATCAGACCTGCAAGGCCATCCGTCTCGTCTTCATCTGGCAGGAAAGCAGCGGGCATGCGGCGTCTTGCCTCTCTGTCCCGGGCATTGAGTCGCGCATCAAGCTCTCGTCTCTGTGCAAGACTGAGCTCTTCATAGTCGCCTTCGTCATCGATACCCTGGCCTTCGTAGGCATCGTTCTCGCGGGCTCCGTAGTCGTTCTCGAAGTCGTCGGCGAACAAATCAATTCCTTCCGCCTCTTCTGCGTCTTCGTCGAGATCGTCTACGTCGCGAATGATGTCGTCATCATCGAGCATGTCTGCATCGTCGTCTTGTGGAAGCATAGGGGGAGACGAGGCCATCGCTGTACTTGATTAGCCATTGTTGTGTCGCATGTTTTTGTCGCACTCACGGCTGGACGGCGGATGCGCCGCTGAGGAGGGGAGGTCGTCATCGTCCCTTGCGCGTTTGTTGCTCCTGCTGCTAGGGCCTACGCCACGGTTGGCGGACGACATGTTGGAGCGAAGGGGTGGTGGTGGTGAACTAGTCTTTGTCAATATCTTGTTGTTGGTTGTAAAGAGGGGCTCGTTGCTCGGCCTACGAGTCTCGTCGGACTCTGAGACACATACCTCATGTTCACGTAAAGCACGGTTTCTTACTGGTATCACCGGGGTAAAGTAAAGTGATACAGGGCTGCGAAGCGGGGTTGAGGGTGCGGGAGAAGGGGTAGTAAGGGCCAGCGACACGACCGCGTCGCGCTTTCCTTTTCCACGCGTAAAGTGGTGATGCGGTAGCCAATCAGCGATCAGGCGCATCCAGTGCCTTCCTCACTGCTCACCAAAGTTTCTCACGCATTTCCACCACCGAATTTGTTTTGCCAGTATCTCGCATTCTGACGACTTTTGGGCTTGTGCTCTACATCGAATCGCTTTCTATCTCGAATACAGTGGTTGCGCGTTGCATCGCAATCATGGCGGATTCACAGTCAACGACCATGTCCGAGAAGCCGCGCACCAGCAGCATATCGCAAGCCTCGGAGAGCTCACAAACAGCAGCTGAGTACGTGCCTTCCGTGTCTCTCTCTGTGTTGATACTAACACAAGCTGAACAGCTTTATCAAAGAACAACTCAGCCTTGAGGCAGAAGCACGCGAGGCTCTTCCCTACGTCAGTACCCACATCCTCCGAACGCGCCTCGACTGACAAGATACAGCAATTTGATACATGCACACGCGACCTCGGCCCTCTGCGACAGAGCCTTTATGCATGCCTCACCTGCAACTCCGCGCCCGCATCGTCTGCCCAGCAATACACACCAGCAGGCGTCTGCTACTCGTGCTCCATCTCCTGCCATGGCGAACACACCCTTGTTGAGTTGTTCAACAAGCGCAACTTCATATGCGACTGCGGAACTACCAGGATACCGAATATGACGCCATGCACGCTTCGTCTCAACGCAGAAACTGGATGTAAAGGCGATGTGACGGGCGAAGAGCCAGCCAAGACGAACAAGTACAACCAGAACTTCAGGAACAAATTCTGTGGCTGCGGTGAGGACTATGACCCTCAGCAAGAGAAGGGCACCATGTTCCAATGTCTCGGACTTGGGACATGCGAGGAGGGCGGCTGTGGCGAAGACTGGTGGCACCCCGAGTGCCTCGTAGGCTTCACTCGGGCGGAGTACAGCAAGATGATTGAGAAGCCCAAGGCGGAAGAGAAGGATGACAAAGCAGATGCGATGGATACCGACAAACCTGCGGTAGATGACACCAAGACCAACGGACACGCGGACGAGAATACGGCATCACTTTCAGCGGACATTGCAGCTGCAGTGACAAATGGCAATGGGGTTGATGGCAACGACATTGCAGCAGATGCCGGCGCAGAAGAGGATGATGATCCGCCACTGCCTCCAGGCTTCCCTGAAGAAGACGACTTCGATCACTTCCTCTGCTACAAGTGTGTCGAGGCCAATCCATGGATCAAACAGTACGCTGGCTCAACTGGGTTCCTCGCACCAGTCTACCACGATAAAGCCATCGCACTTTCTCATGCCCAGAAGGCCACTCTCTCAGCTCCAGAGGACAGCAACAGCGACTCCAAGAAACGCAAAGCTTCCGACGAAGACGAAGAGCAGCAGACAACATCCCATTTGACAGCTCCAGCTCCGGCTAAGCGCCAAAAGTCTGAAGATCCAAGTAGCACACTCTCCAGCATCCCCGAAGACACAACGACGCTCCCCATAACCCCCAAGAAGCCCGAAGCACCCGAAGCCCCAAAGCACGCTTCCCTCCCTCCTCTTCCCACCACCGCACATACTACACCCTTCTCCCTCTTTGTAAAGCCCGACTTCCGCGACCACCTCTGCCACTGCGACGCGTGCTACCCACAACTAAAAGCCCACCCGCAACTCCTTGAAGAGGAAGACACCTACGAGCCCCCCGTCTCCGAAGACGGCGAAGAAGGTGGTCAATCCGTCGGCACAGGCAGCATTCTCGACCGTGGCGAAGCTGCCTTCAACAACATGGACCGCGTACGTGCTATTCAAGGTGCAATGGCATATGCGCATCTCAAAGACAAGGTCTCGGCGTTCTTGAAGCCGTTCGCCGAGTCGGGTCAGGCTGTTGGTGCGGAAGATGTCAAAGCGTACTTTGAGAAGCTGAGAGGTGACGCACCGGGTATCCAGGAAGCTGCTGGCGATGCGAAGGCGAATAGGGATGATGACACGGATGGTGGGGCTGAGGGTGGCGGCAGGAAGGAACAGAGTGGGTACTGAATGTAGACCTGTCTGCTTGGAGCGGTGAAGATGTGAAGGTGAGATTTGTGGGAATGTATATGACGGTCAGTCGGCCTGGAACTGAATATCGCCCCTAAGCACAAACACAGATCGACCCATATTTACGTCTCCGAAATCTTTGCACTCGACCTTTAATATTCGCTTCATAAAAACGGCTCTAGTATAAGAAACTAATTCAGGTGTAACAAAAATAATTCTCAAGTCTTGGGTATCAAATTAAACTACTTCCTCTACCTTGCAAACCAGCGCAAACTACCACTGCACTCTGAAACAAAAGAAACATTTTACACCTCCCATCCCCATCTCTCACTCCTTAAGCCGTCACAGTAACAGTAGCCGTCTCGGTGACCGTCTCCTTCCCAGTCGGTGACGCAGTAACAGTCACGGTGAATATCTGACTCGGTGGTATCGGCGTAATGATCAACGGACCTTCTGATGTCGTTGATGAAGGCACCGGCTCTGGCTGTGGTGATGCAAAGGATGGCATTTCGGTCGGTGCTGGTGGTGTTGGCACGGCGTCGGATGTGGATGCCGTTGCAGATGCTGAGACCACTGGAGGTGGCACAATGGACGAAGAAGGTTGCACCGAAGATTCTGCAGGCGGTGCCATGGATGAGGATGCTGGTGATGGTTGTGCTGAGCTTGAGAGCGCGGGTGGCATGCTTGGTGCAGCGGAAGACGATAGCGTGGGAGTAGGCGCAGGAATCTCCGATGTCAGAGATGGCGGTGCGGGTTCGCTGGGTGTTGGCTCTGCTACTTCCGAAGATGAGCTTGCGAGTACAGAGGATGAGGCTGCTGAGCTAGGTATGACTGGCTCTGGTACAGCGGAAGAAACGGGCATCTCGGGTGCTCCGCTTGGCTCTGGTGTGGCTGTCGGCACGACTGTAGTGTATGATGTTACAATCACTACAGGCGGTACCTGGAGGGATGCCGATGGGGATACTTCAGCCGGGGGGTTTGATGGAGCGGGCATGGGAGTGCCAGCCACTTCCGATGTTGAAGAGACTAGTGGAGCAGACTCTTGAGCCTCAGTTGGTATGGCTGACTCTTGAGTGGGTGTTTGAGGTGGCTGGGATGTCGCGTAAATGGTGGTGTATTGCGTGACGATGATGCGCGATGTCACGTCGATTGTATCCGAAGCAGTCGCTGACGGTAGAACAACTGTAGACGATGCGCTTGACAGAGGGATTGGAGTTGCCAGAGAAGTTGAGTTGACCAGAGGGGCAGAAGATGGCGCTTGTATAACGGACTCGATCATAGAAGATAGGCTGGTGATAATCGCGCTGGCAGTGGTGTTGACAGATGGCGAGCCTGAGGGTGCCGCGCCGGGATGGGTGAAGCCAGGCAAGCCGCCAGTGGTAGATGCTTGGACCGTACTTGTCACCGGTGCAGTTGTTGTAGATGGTAGAACAGCACTTGACGCCGGTACAGTTGGAGTGGCAAGCGAGGTGGACGTGTCTTCTATGGGCGAGTAGGTGAACATAGGAGCCTTTTGACTTGTCTCGCTTGTTGTCTTGTTTTCCACAGCGGCAACCGAACTTGACAATGCCGACGATACCGGCACATCGCTGCTCTCTGTGGGCGTTGGTTTCGGACTTGGTGTTACTGAAGACGTGACCGCTGCGCTTGAAGTCTCCTCCGGGGTTGGCAGAGGTGATGGTGTGATGTAGGAAGTAGAAAACACAGTCTGCGGATCTTGTGTCACGAGTGGCTTCCCATCAGGAAGAACAAACGTGATAGCTGGTGCTATTGAAGAGAAGATGGTTTGCTGGATAGGCTCCACTATGATAGCGGTTTCTGCTTCTGCAATTTGCTGTCCTGATGTTGATGCGATCGTTGAGGTAGTGTTGGCATATCTAGGAAAGCTCCAGAAAGTCAGTGTTTGTTTCTCAAAGTACTTGCTTGGGTTCCTCACAGTTGTCTTCGGTGGTTATTTGGAACGGGTCCGGCAGTTATGGATGTAGAGCAAGCTGCCAGCAGCAGAATTGTGGAGAAGATAGCCATCGTCAAGACGACAAATTATTAAGAGTGGACGAAGGAAAAAGACGGCGCTTGCAGGCAGAATAAGGAAGCGATGGACTGAAGGACGAAACTGAGATAGTGAACGATTAAGAGAAACGATCGACAAGGAGAAGAAACAGACGGTAAGGAAAGACACCTAGGAAAGAAACGAAAATCGTTCGTCTCAAGCAAACCACAGGCTAAACGTTCAGATGGCTACGGCGGTGTCTCATTGCTACGCGGGCTGGCATCGGGTTTTGAAGCTGCATTAGCCGCCTTGAGCACGGTTTGAGCATACAATGGGACAAAGAGTAGTACTGGCCCAGCATGTCTCCAATTGCCTGTAATTTGGGCGTGTCACTCAAGCTCCATAGGAAAGTAGCGCTGGTAACTGGAGGAGTGGCTGTGGTGCTCTGATGCGCTGGGTACGTGTTTCACCTGCGGGCCAATGGGATGGCGACATGGCCTCGTCGAGCCCACGCCCTTGAAGCGCCTGGCCGAACGTCTGCTACCCGCGCAGAGCCTCCAGGTCTTGATATGCCAGAAATAACTTTTCGGAAGGAGGCTCAATTCCGCGATCCGAGTTTGTCAAGTGTTGCCGGTTTCCGCGTCTTCATGCAGTATGTGCTGTCTTTCGGCTCTTGGATGCGTTAAGAGACCGGAACCCTGTGGGGATTTCTCCACAACACCAAGGTCGAGGTCACGATAGAAGACGACCTAGATGCCTGCAAGCATCAGCTATAGCTATCGACGATATTGTAGTGGATCGAGATGTGTTGGCGGGTTTGCACGTGCCCGATGTTCATTTGATGAGCGGTTGATGGTCGCTCGGGGCAACAGGCGAGTTTCGACAAGGAAGGACAACACAGACCGCCATTTACGCTAGGACAGGCCCTTTGCATGTCGCCAGAGCCTCGAGTCTCGACGTCGCGTACGGTAGGTCTGGCATTCTTTTCTCTGTAGACGTAGAGTTTTTCGTATCCTTTCACCCTATCGCCATCCTCCTTGCCGGTCTGCACCATGAGCGTACGCGTCGTCGCGAGGATACGTCCTCTACTGAAACAGGAGCTCGACAAAGACACCATCGTCACCGCCGAGACATTGGACGGCGATACCACCCCGGCCGTCGTGCGGATACCGAGTCCGAAGAACGAGGCCGAGTCCTTCAGCTTCCAATTCAGCTCTGTGTACGAGCAGGACGCGACACAGCAGCAGCTTTTCGATGCCGAGAGTGAGTTCGCGACGGACGCGTTTCGGACCTGAATTGACTCCAAACCAGTCGCGCCGACGGTGAAGCACCTGTTCAATGGCTTCGATCTATCCATATTCGCGCATGGCTGCACCGGCACCGGCAAGACGCATACGATGCGCGGAGGAAAGTCGCTGGCAGACCGCGGTGTCATCCCAAGACTGTTGAGCTCGATATACCGACGATGCAAAAAGATCGAGAAGGACACGGCTGGTGCCACTCACGTCGAGGTCGCCCTGGAATACTTCGAAATCTACTGCGATCGCGTCTACGACCTGTTTGAACCGCCGGAGAAGCGCACCCCGTCTGGCCTGCCCATCCGAGACAACAAAGGCAAGACTGTCGTCGTTGGTCTTACAGAGAAGCCGTGCACAACGCTTAAGGAGTTTGAGCAGCTTTATGACCAAGCCAACATGAACAGGTCAACATCCGCTACAAAGGTGAGGCTTTACACGCGTTGGAGGTAAACATTACTAATGATACTGTAGCTCAACGCGCATTCCTCCCGGTCCCATGCCGTTCTCTGCGTCAAGATCACGCAAACCACCGAAGATACGGTCCGCGTCAGCCGAGCATCCTGCATTGATCTTGCAGGATCCGAAGACAACCGACGAACCGAAAACAACAAGGAGCGCTTGGTCGAGAGCTCGGCCATCAACAAATCACTATTCGTACTTGCTCAATGCGTAGAAGCTATGAACAAGAAGGCCAGCCGGATCCCGTACCGCGAGTCCAAGATGACGAGAATCTTATCGCTAGGTCAGAATAAGGGCTTAACTGTCATGATTCTGAACCTTGCGCCGACCCGCGCATACCACCTCGACACCATTAGTTCCTTGAACTTCGCTAGCCGGACGAAGAAGATCGAGATCGCAGAGGTGGAGAACGACCCCATGTACAGGACAGCAGTCAAGCCATTGGCGATAACCAGTAGTGTCGGCGGAGCAACAATGTCACGGCAACCGCTACGATCCATCGCTGCCGCCCACAACGCGAACATCCCGGAGCCAGAGAAGGGGAAGAAGGGAGAAAAGCCTACCAAGGCCTTTTCTGTATACTCCGACGCTCGCAAGGCTGCTGCCGCTGCTCCTCGCGTTTCTAACCTTGCACAGAACCAAGGAGTACGAAGGACTGAGGGTTCTAAGCGAGCGGCTGAACCCAGCAGCACTTTCGCAACGCGACCAACCAAGGCATTCCGAACTGGGGATAACACCTCACGGATACCGAACAGAGAGCCCGCTTTGACAAAGGCTTCGATCGAGGCTCTTATCGCACAGAAGGTGGACGAGAGGCTGGCAGAGAAGGCGTTGCAAGATGCTGGCACTGCTGCGCCAGCGCTTTCTGCAGAGTTGCAAAAGCGGTTGGACGAGCTCGAGCACCGCATCGATGCACACGAGGAGGACGGAAAGTCTCAGGGCCTGCAGTTCCTGCTTATGGCGAAGCAACATCACATGCGCGGAGAGGACGCCAGCGCACTTAGAATGTACCACCTGGCCCAGCCCTTCTTCCCCGGCAACGCAAAGTTAGAATCCAAGATGAAGGCCCTCGAAGACCGAATACGCGCAAAGAAGGAAGAAACCACCAAGCACGTCTCCGCCCCCGTAGAGCTACCCTCGCACACCGCCGCCGCAGCGCCCCCCTCGAATCTCCTCATGCCCCCCCTCAAAGCCGTCGAAAAGAAACAGTCAAAGCCAAAGATGGTCTACAAAGACGACGAAGAAGACGACGAAGAGTTCGCTCCCCCGCCCCCTTCCGACCACGAAGACTCCTACGCCTCCGACACCAGCTTCCAGTACACCAGCAAATCCAAGCCCGCCCGCAAACCGAAAAAGACTACCAAGAAACTGCCCATCTTCCGCGACGACGCTACCCCGACTACGACTCTGACTACTACTACCACTGCCGATCTCCCGTCTCACTCCGCCTCTGCCTCTGTCCAACAAACGCCTCGTACCAGCCACCTCCTCAAGATCATCAACTCGCGCGACGTCAACCAGATCAAAGCGTTAAAAGGTGTCGGTGCAAAGAAAGCGGATAACATCGTGAACTGCCTGGTCGAAATGGATGATGCTGAGATTATGGATTTGGAATCGCTGGCTATGCTGAAGGGTGTAGGGGGCAAGACGGTGGATAATATGAGACTGGGGTTGAGCGTTAATACTGTTTATGATTTCTAGAGCTTCGGCTTGACTTTACTGGTGTTTGGGTTTTTGGAGTTTACATCAAGCATGGTGTCCATGGCGTTTTTTGTGTGGATGCGCGCTCAGTGCGTGCGTAGACTATATTCACATTGCATAGTAAAAGGGCGTTTTGGGGTTTGGCAGCTTAGGCTGTCTTGCATCTTGCATTTTGCATAGGTCAGTTCTTAGAAATTATTGACTATTTCTTCACCACTCTACGGTTGCTTCGCTTTCAGATTTCATTCTACGTCCGAAAATTCTGCATCATTCATACTATCATTATCATACAAGACCGTAACTTTCAATCTCAGCCTACAAGAAAGGACCTAGAACCACTCACTCAATCCCACCTTCGACAGGAGTACCTAAAACGGCCAAACCCAGTCCTCCGTCTCCTTGGGATCCATACCCTCATGGTACGCATAGTTCTTCGCCTTGATCTGCTCATCAAGCAGCTTCTCCCTCGTCGCAGCACCCTTGTTACCCAGGCTGGGAATATTGTCCAACGCATCAATCGCCAAGCTGTAGCGATCAGTACCGTTCCTGATAGCCAGCTCAAGAGGCGTGTCGATATTACCCTTCTCCCTGTAACCGC